AATACTATAGTATATTACGCAGGCCATAGAATATACCTATGGTAATTGTTGCAAATTGAATTGAAGAGCAAATACGAGTTCATGAAAATTCTGAATTTTTAAATAAAAATGTATTTTTCAGATGTAATTTACGAGTACAAACTGCTTTTTTAAAATTTTAACTTTAAATTAAAAAAAAAAAATATGTAGAATCAGTAGAGCTAAAAATATTAACGAATTTTTTTTAACACAAATAATTTCCGAAACCCGAAAAATAATTATTTTTGTGTTGGTCTCTGAGCTTGGTGGCCTGATAGATGCATATATGTATATGACATTATGAAAAGTATAGAATTTTTTTGTATTTGAAGGAAGGTACGTAATGTGTATTTTAAATAAAATTCTGAAGAGAGAAAGAAAAGATCTAGCTTCTAATATTAACGCACTCGAATATGAAATGAACAGCTAAAAATTAATTAAATAAAACAAACATAGGGCAATTATAAAAATTTTGCCTCTCTGGTGGTAGAGTTTCCTTAAAAATTCCTTACCTAAACAATTTTAAATTCAAAAACCAAATGCAGAAAGCTACAAATTTAGGTAAAAGAGGAACCGAATCTAATGAAAATTTAATGAAAGTAGAACCACGATCAGTATGAAAGCAATCAATTAGAAAAAGTACAATATGTATGAGTCTCTTCCATCTATATTATAAGTTCATATTTTATTATGAACTTATCAAATCAATGTTGGGACGAGAACTCTTGCCGAATACGTAATAGTTGTATTTTGCATATACATACATAGGTACACGGAATCTAATTAATTTCTTCGCTCTTGTACACAAATTTACTTGTTTTTCGTCAAATGAAAATATAAATATAACGGAAAAACAACAACAAAAAAATAATAAATAAATAAAATAAACAAAAAAAAATTAAATAACGAAAAAAAAAGTATGTCGGTTATTCATCCTTATTTTCATTTCGGTTGTTTTTGTTAGTACAGAAGTACTGGAAGAAGGAGGTGTGTGGTGCTGTATGGTTTTTCTATTTTGAAATTGTTGTTTTTTTATTTTTTGACGATAAAAACAAAAATTTGTAATTAGTATTTTTAATATTATTATTTTTTTCTTTTTTGATGATTTCATTTTTCTCTATTCATGTTTTAAAAAAATATAGAAAATTTTGTGAAGGAATGGAAAAATTTTAGTTGATATTTGAAGCAAAAAAAAAATTTTTTTTTTGTCACCATTCAATAACTCTTTTTTTTTTATTTTTTATTTTTATAGAGAATTTTTATTAGTTTTTAAATTATTAATTATAATTCCTAAAATGATAATTTATTTTTGTTGTTTCATATTTTGAAGTTTTTAGGTCAAAGTAGAATTAAAAAATTCTTAGAAAATTTTTTTTTTCTAAAAGACATAAAAAATGTTAGAAATTTTTTTAGCACTTTTAGTGTGTATTAGAAAAAAATTAAAATTTTTTATATTGGAATAAAATCCTTATTTTAAATTGTTGGAGCGGAATTAAAGTTTTTACATTAGAACTACTTTTAAACCTTTACTTTTTAACACTCATACAAATTGAATACAAATTAGATTATAACAGAAAAATAGAACTCTAGTTATATTGTAAATTTATGATATTGTTAAAAGAACTCGCAAAACGTAAGCAATGTAAAATGGTTGGCTCGATTTAATAACTGGGTCCGCAATATTTTGTTAAAAGTAGTTTTTATAGTATAGCTACAATACAATTTCAAAAGTTATTTCATCATATTTCAGAAAATATTTCAGCAGAGTTAAGTTTTAAAAGAACTCTTAGCTCGTGTATATGGCAGCTTGAGAACTTGATTTGAAATGTTCTCAAAACTCATGTTGCGTTTTTACTATGTCAGCTTGAAAGATAACGTTGAGCTACTGCATTTCAAACCAATTAAGCAAAATTTTTTGATTGACTTGTGTGAAAATGGCTTCAAGTCAAGTAACGTTTATATGGAGATGAAATAAGCTTCAAGTAAGTTTTAAGTCATCATATAAACGCGGTATACTTGTATGATAAATGTATATGTTAAAGATAATGAAAATGTGACATAACTTCTTATTTAAACCTAAATTTTTTTTTTAAACACAATTTTATTGACATTCATGCAAACATTCTATATGACGAATTTTAACATTTTAATTCACAAAATAAATATTTTCATTTTTCTAATTGTTTACAATATTTTTAGAATAAAAACTTTCATTTTGATTACATTCTCTTGGTCCAACATACATTGTATAATCTGATGAACAACCCCATTTTTCAGCTTCTTTACAATAGAAACGAATGAAAAGTGAAAATTCTTTTTTTGGTAATTCATTCCATGTTTCATTAAAAAATGTTTTCTTTAAAAATTCTAATACTTCTAATGAACCACAAAAATTAAATATCATTTTAATTTTTGGTAAATTTTGTCGATTTCCAATAATATCATGACCCAATACAAAAACAATTGTTTCACCTTCATGTACTCTTCTTAAATGAATTGTCAAAATTATTTTGTTTTAATTTTATTTAAATATTTCAAATATTTAAAAAGGCATTATTATATTTTTACCTGAATGGTATACCACTATTTACGATCAACAAGAGTGTTGCCATTAATACTAATATTTCAATACCATTTCGATGATAGTTGAATGTTTGCAATGAATATAAAGTTTTAGCGCATAATACTCCAAACCATGAACCTTGCAAATTAATTTGAATACACCAATTTTTTAGATCATAATCTTGTACTGATGAAACTATTTGACAATTTGATAATTTCTATGCAAATACATATATAATAAATTATTAATTAATAATTTTATATACTATGACTTCAACTTACATTTATTATATTAAGTAGTGTTATAACGTAAAGTAATCGATTTTTTTGATTTTTTGATTGTCCAATACATTCTTGACTTAATTTGTAAAAATCAAAAAGAAACTTTTTAACTTTATACAATGGTGGTGAAAAAGGATTCGGATTATGATGTCTTAACAATAAAAGTAATTTTCCAAGAAATATTTCTTTAAGACCATATTTAACATAGGGCCATGTTGCAATTTGAATAATCTGTAAAAAAAAATCTTATTAAAAAATTGAATTTTAGTACTGGATAATTTTTATTACCTTCATTGCCACGTAATCATAACTTTGTGTATTGAATTTTGAATTTTTATACAAATTTTTATTAAATTCATGTAAAAGTAGTGTATCAGCTGCAAATCTGAATAAATGGCATGTTGAACGTATACGATTACGATGCCAAATATCAATATAACTTATAATTTCTTCAATTACTTCTATTGGTAAATTATAGAAATTTTTTGAAAAAATATAATTAACATTATTATTATTACGGTGGCGACTTTTAGAATTTGATTTTGACGATTTTTTATTTGTTTTCGTCATAATACACTTATATAAATTTTGAAATAAAAGATTTTTATATAGAAAATTCGAAAATTATTTGATATTTTTTGTTTCCGGAAATAAAATTTAAAATTTTATTATTGTTTTTTTTTCCAAATTCTGACAAATACATTTTTATTTTAAATTTTGTTTAAATTCAAAAGACAAAATTCAAAGATTATATTGAAGTTTGAAACAGAAATTTAATGAAAATACAGATATCGTATAAATTTAACAATATAAATATGGATAATAAATTATTTGTCCGTATTGAATACGCTTATTGTATTCAATGCAGGGAAAAATCGTTGCCAGATTTCATTTGCTTATTAGATTTTTTCTACTCAGAAAAGTCTTTAAAGCAGGATTAAATACGGTAGGTAATTGGTTTTGCAATACGTATACATATATGACAAATCTATTTAAATTTACGATACAGAAAACTTGCTTTATTCACACGACATTTTATAGTCAGTATTTAGACATTTCGAAAAAGTATAATTGACTGTTAATATAATATTGCCTTCCTCCTCAATAACTTACATCTGTGCAAATGTTCGGAAATAAGTAATAGATCAGAAGGATTATGTCAATTTCAATAATTTTTCAACATATTGAGTTTTCATTCCAAAAGTTAAAGATTCTCCATCTTACAAACTGCAGAATTTAAGCAAATTTTTACATTATAATTTAAAGCACGTACATATTATATTTTCTTATTTAAGTCAAAGCTATTCAATTACTTTTTATTCTTCTTGAATAATTTTAGGTCCACCTATTAAAGGGGAAGAATTATTGAGTTTTTATAAATATGAAATATTATTTAATTTAGTTTCACTTTTGAAGTAATTAATAATCCAATCACAAAATATTTAATAATAATCTGAAATAAGATATCATGCTCTGTTCTAGTCTAGCCTTAATTTAATAAAATTGAAAAAAAAATCACTATACCTGTACTGTCAATCCTAAATTAATAAATTCAAAAACAGACAAAAAAAAATTAAAAAGAAAATTTTCTGTCAGTTGACAAAAATTATTATTGCTTTTTTTTTTGTTTTAAATAATTATAATTGTTGGTTGAATCAATAAAAATTTTTAGCCATTAAAATTTCATGGAAAGAGTAAAAAAGATAACAAGAAGAATGTTTTAAAATGAACATGAACATAAAGCAAAACCAATGGATAAGTGTCATCTTTGCCACCAAAATATTAGCATTTTTCGTATTTTTTAAGTGTACTTCGTAGAAATTCGTAGAAAAATTCTAAGAAAGACAAAACAGAAAGTACGTAAATAAAAAAAAGTAATTAATTTCCCAATTTTATTATAATCTTATTATTTATTATAACTTGTCTCTTTATACTTTTAGAATTTGGAGAATGATGAGTAGGTTGAGGCAATGTGAGACCGGTTTTTTTTCTCTTTATCTTAATCTTAAATATCCTTGAGAATATTATTAACGATTTTTATGTTTAATCAACTATAAAGATTTTCATTACTTTGATTTTAATATTATTGATGACTTTTTCATTAAAAATTATATTAATATATAATTTTATCATTACAGCTCTTAAAGTTAAACTAATGGTTAGAAGACCAATAACACAGCTGGTTGAACAAGGAATAATACCTGGTAAATATAATAGAATTTTAGTAATATTATGTAAATGTATAGAATAATATTAACAAAATTAAATATCACTGCCTGAAAATCTATTAGAGTTTATGTAAATTAAAAATATTCTTATATTATAGTTATTAAATAATCTTATATGTTTTTGTTATATTTACAGCATTAAAAACATCACCGGCAATTCATGAACAATGTAAACAACTAGAGCGTGCTAAAACTGGTGATTTACTTAAAGCAAAAATTCAACAAAGACCAAATCGTCAAGAATTGGAACGTCGTCATATATTAGAACATGATGAAAGTCACGTTGATCCGAGTTTAGCTGAAAAACAGCGTATGCTAAAAAAAGCACGTTTAGCAGATCAACTAAATTCACAAATATCACATCGCCCTGGTCCATTAGAATTAATAAAAAAAAATATTTTACATACAGAGAAACCAATTGAAAAAATTGTTAAAGAAGGTTTAGTTTCATTTAAAGCAACATCAGAGGGATTATTAACACGACCGCAACATCCAAATAGTTATATAACATTCGAAGATGATTCACAAAGCTCTGAAAGTGATACAAGAAATACTCCACCACGACAAACTGATTTAAATGAATTTGCAATACCAATAAATTCACCAGCTAGTTGTTCATCTGATATAACAAATCAACAACACATTTTGCAACATAATCAAACAACAACAACAACTTCTCCTGGTTTAGTAACACTTGCATTAACAATTCCAACAAGTGCTGGACAAGTTGTTGTAACATCAGCACCAATTATTCAAACAAATAATAATAGTAATAATAAACAATCGTTGTCAACAAATCAATTACAATTAAATCAAAATAATTTAATAGCGGTAACTCCGCCACCACCTCCACCTCCACCACCACCGTTAATGAGTACAACCTCAAATGCAATACAAGTAAAACAAGACACATCAAATTTGTTTGCTGAATTATGTCAATCAGTTGCTGGACCCAATTCGAGTCCTAACTTTTTACCATTAATTGCAAGTCCTGGTTCATTGGGTTCTAGTGCATCAACTTTAAGTCCTTTATCATCGGTATCATCACCGCCACAATCATTAACGCCACGATTAGCACAATCACCAGCTCTTCAATTCCATTCAATACAACAGCAGCAACAAAAATCAGATGCTCCTGGTAAAGATAAAAATCGAAAAAAGAGTAAAACTAAACCGGTTTGTAAAGCACGTACAATCAAATTTCATGAATATAAAGGACCACCTAATTCTGCTGCTGCCCAAAAACTAAACGTCACGGGTTCATCAAATGATATGCAAACCGATCAGTCGACATGCGAAACTTCATATCAGTTGATGTTAGAGCAACAAAACTGTTTACTTAAATTTTTGGAGAATTTAAATAAAAATCAGTCTGTATTGCCTGCCACTACTGGCAGTTCTACCAATTCCAGTACAACAATTAAATTTTCTGCAACTCCAACTGTCAATTCAACAGTTGTAACAACAACTGGTCGTGATACACCAGTTAATAATCAAATTGTAACAACTAATTCAACGATTCCACATCCACCGCCACTGCCATCGCCAGCATTATCAGTTGTTTCATCTATTCCACCGCCAAGTCCGGCACCTAGCAGTTACGCTGAATCAACATGTTCTGCAACAGTATCTAGCACTCAAGTTATAACCGATCTTGGACGATTAGAGAAAATGAAGGTTTCTGACTTAAAATTGCATCTTAAAAAACGTAATTTACCTGTATCAGGTCCAAAACCTCAGTTGATTGAACGTTTGAGACCTTATTTGCCTTTAGATCCTTTAGATATTGTCCCTACAACTAATAGCACGCCAATCCCTGTTGTTGCAGATGTTCCTATGAATGATACCACGGAGTGTGAAGATACCATTATGTATGTTAATTCGCCTAAGAATGCTATGATTGTTGATTCTCCAAAACCTAGCACTGTTATTCAACAAGTTGAATCCATGGATATAGTTCAAATAGAGTCACCGGCTGCTGTAGTGGTTCAAGCAACACCAATTGTGACACCCGCTCCACAGGTGGGAACGATTTTGGCTACAATTGCTCCTGTAACTAAATCATCATCTGCAAAGCAGTCTAAAACTCCTACTTTATTACAACAAGTATCGCAACAGCAAATTTTGCAGACGTCAAATGAAGATCTTGTAAGAGAACAACAACGAGAAATCGCTGAGTTAAAACGCGAATTACAAAGGAGTCAGCAAGAGCTATTGCAAATGAGACAAAGTAAACAACAAGCACAAATTTTATTAGTAGAACAACCAATAACACCTCAAATTCATTTGACTCAAGCAAAACCAATTGTACAACAGCAACCTGTTCAAACCAAGTCCACCCCTATAAATCAAAAATTAGTGGTTAAGCAACAGTTAGAGGCTAAAATACAAAAGCAAAAGGCAGCACAACAACAAGCACAAGCTCAAGCTGCAGCAGCCGCTCAAGCAGTTCAAAAACAAGCAACAACAACGCAACTAGTCCTTACAACCACAGCAACGCCTACGGGAAATGGTATAAATAACAAAACAACTCCAGCTTTGATTATACCGACTAAACAAGAGGACAAATCCCGTCAGGCTACAATAATTACTACAACAACGCAACAAAAACAGCCACAAGCAACAATAACTGCACACCCCACTACCACACAAAATTTGGGATTTGTTTGGAATAATGAGAATCAAACCATATTTTTAGTAGAAATTCCACCACCAGCACAACTACACGATGCTAATAAGAAGATTATAAATGGACATCAAAGAACTGCGTCACTACCGAGTATTGTATTTCCGATAGCAACGACTACAATACCACAAACTATAACATCTTCACAACATAATTCAACACAACATATTCAAATTCAAAAAAATGAATCAAAGCCGTTGCCGCCATTAGTACATCAGACTATGTCAAATATAGATATTCCAACCCAAATACAATTAGATATAAAACCCCCGCCACCATTATATGAAGAAGCGATTGCTAAGCATAAATTACAAATAAATTCTCAACCGCCACAATTGATTTCGACCACTGCACCAAATTCAAATACAACTAATTTAACTTCAATGACAAAGTCATCTTTAACTATAACTCCTCCTGTCCTCAAAATTAAAAAGGAAATATTGGATAATACAGTGAATAATAGCAATAACAGCAATAACAATTGTTACAATAAATCAGTCAATAGCGCAACCACCTCTAGTAATTCTAATAACAACAGTAACAATAGAAATGACAACAACAGTAGTAATAATAGTGGCGATTTGAAAAAACATTCTTTTAAATCTGAAAATCTTTCTGACGTTTTAGATATTTTGATACAAAACGGTGAATTGCCACAAAGTGCTTTAGATACTCCTACTACTCCCAGTACTAATTCGAATGTTATTCAACAAGATGGTCAGTTATTATTTACATCAGTTCAACAGCAAGAAATTCAACAGCAAAAGACTCAACAGCAGACATCACCATCCACATCATCATCGCCAGCAACATCAAATAATTTGTTAAATCAAATCACTGAAATACAACAACAACAACAACAGCAACAAAATATATCTACCGCAGTTGATAATATACATCAAATGAATTTAATTACATCTTCAGACGTTACGAATTCTTCACCAGCAGCAACAATAACTGGTGATACGCAAATACTTGATAATTCCGATTTTCATTCATCTTTACTTCTGAACACTCCTCTTAATATTGAAAATATTGATATGGCATCTCCAATGCAACCTGATTGTCATATCGATGACGTTGTTACAAAATCTATTGATGCATTTCTTGAGCAGGCTCAACAAGATCATCAAAATGATCAACAACAACAAAAACAACAAAGTTTTAACAGTAATAATAGTAACGCGGGAAATTTAAATGCACTTCACCAACATCATAATCATCTTCCACATCACATAACAAATAATTTAGAACACTTTGATGATTTGGTACTGGAATTAATGAGTCAACAATTAGATATGGACATTAGCGAAGAAACGTGTCATAATTTTCCATCAATGATCATTGATAGTAATTCAAATACATCGTCTGAATTACTTCAAAATCATAATAAGTTATCAAATTTAAGCGTAAGACGTGATATGAATCCAAGTTTACAACCATCTATAAATGAATTAATACAACAACAATTGCATCATCACTTACAAAATTTACCATTGCAACAGTTCAAACAACATTCAAATCAACAACAACGACATCCTCAACAACACCCACAACCACATCTTCAGTTACAACAACAGCAACAGCATCATAATCAACAACAGCAACAAAATCAACATGAAAATAATAGTAATATTAATAGTAGTAGCCATCATCATAATACCATAGGTCGATCAAATTTACTAGTTAACGGTAATATTGATCATCAAGCAATGGCTACTGATTCAACAAATGCTTTTGATACAACTCATTTTGATATTGCATCAAGTCCAACAAATAATAATTTTAGTACAACACCAATGGATGTTTGTGACGATTTTGATAATCCATTGGCTAGCTTAGGTTTTACAACAAGTTTTTCACCAGATTCTAATATAAATACACCACCACATCCGTTCTCATCTGGTTTATCAAATAATTCAAATAGTAATGATGGTTGTGGTATTAGTCATAATAATAATAACAATAATAATAACAATAATAATAGAAATAATAGTACTAATATTGGTAATAGTGGAATATGTGGTTTTAGTAATAATATTAATATAAATCGTAATGGTCCTAATTCAATATTATCAACATCAAGTTGTTCAAGTAATCAAAATTCACCAGAATTTCAAATTCATAATGATTATGGTAGTGGTATCGGTAATGGTGGTAATAGTAATGGTGGTAATAGCAATTGTAGTAATAGTAGTGCGAATGATAATACATTTAATACACATTTGCCAATTAGTCAAGATAATATACTGGATTTATTTAATATTGATGACTTTAAAATGGGTGGACCATGGAGTGAAATTGATTATGCTGTGTAAAATGTAAGATTTGCGAAAAAAATACCGAAAAATCAGATGAATTGCCAAAAAAAAAAAAACGATAAAAAAAAAATAAAACTACTTTTACTGATTTCTTTTAGAGTGCTACGAAATGATTAAATTAAAAAAAGAAAAAAACTAAATAATGATGACACGAAACAAAAATGAAAAAAATTTTGGAGTTTTATACTTAAAGGAGGTAAGAGTTTTATAGAGCAAATTATGAAAAAAAAGTAGTTAAGAATATTCAAATTTAATAAACTAAATGTAAATTTGTCTCCAGCACTTTATTAAAACTGAAGTATTCGTTAAAAATGAAAATAAAAAGTTGTTAAGAAATTAAAAATAATAATTGTTAGAAATTTTTAAGATTAAATTTTGAAAGATTCACATTTTATGTTTTTTAACTTGAGAAAATTTTATTTAAGTAATTTAGACAACATAATTTTCTAAGATCAACTCTAAAGAAGAAAGATTTCGGAGTTTGTTTTTTCATTTTAAAAATAATTAAAAATATTAATGATGTGAATTTGCATAAGATTTTTTTTTAATTTTTTTAGTTGCAATTTTTATAATTTATTTAATTGTTTTAATAATAAAATCATAAATAAATTAAGTTTTTTGAAAATTTAACAAATTTTTAATATTGATAAGAGAAAAAAACATTTTTTTAAGAAATTTTTGCAAAATTTTTATAAAATAAAAGAAATTTAAATATTTGTTTTTTTTTATAATAAATATTTTTTATACAATTAGAATTTTTATTAAAAAGAAATGTAGAAAATTAATGAATATTGAACGTTATCGGGAATACGAAAAAATTAGGAAATTTTGTCAGAATATTATTAAGGTAAAAATAAGAAAAGCACGATTTTTTCCATTTTCAACAAAACACACTTTAATAAATAACAATTTTCAAAAGTAATTAATAGCTTACTGAATATTTTGTTAAATTTTTTTTTTGTGATTGAATAAATTTGAAATTTTCTTAAAATTTATAAAATATTATTCAAAATTATTAAAAATATTTTAAACTTTAGAAATTAAAATTTCATCTGTTGAGGAATAAAAAAAAATAAAAATTATACTTGCCAAATTAAAACGTTCGAGTAAAAGTGTAAACACAATTAGCACTGAAAAGAAAAATTTTGAACATATATATTTTTTTTTTTAGAAAAATTTATGTACGAGTAGCAAATTTATTAAAATAAAATTTCTGACTTTTTGAGTCAAAATAATTCGTTTTTATTAACTTTATTAATATAAAATTTAGAAATCGAAAATTGAGAAAAGTTCTGTATGTATTTTGTTTGATTTAAAGCGGAAATTTAAAATATTAATAAATATTATAATGAAAATATTTTATTAGCTTTATATTAAATATTAAAATGATGTATAGAATTAGAAAAGACTTATTTCTATTAGTTTTAATTTGACCCATCTTTCAGTATGAGGAAATAAGGGAAGTGTTTATCATTATAGAATTTTTGGTATAAACCTAGCATAAATTTGTATTTTTATTTTAATTAAAATATTTTTCGATATTAGCACTATACAATATTTTCTTTTTAAATATTTTAATTTTTATATTTTTATTTTATTTCATTCACTTATTTATTTAATTTTTATTTATTTTGTTTTATTTTTTTCTTTCTTTTTAGGTAATTCGTGGAATTCATGCTTTATTTTTTTTTTTCCTTTTTTAATATTAGAAAAATATGAAAATTATACTTAAAAAATTGCATTCATGGAGCGCATACATGAAGTAAAATTAGAAAAAATCAAAAAAAGAATAATAATATTTTTCATCATTCCAACTATTAAAATTATTATTTAATGTGTATGTAAATAAAAATTTATATAAAATAAAGCGAAAAAAAAAAATTAAAAAACTTAAAAAACAGAAACAATAATATAAATATCACAAAGAAAATAATGAGAAACAAAAAATAATTAATATTATAAATTTATATTTTAAAAAACAATAAGTTCGCTAAAATATCACAGAAAATAAAAAAAAAATTAACAAAATTAAGCAAACAAAATGAAACATTTTTTCAATTATTGTAAAATTTTTTTTTTAATTAATTATGTACAAAGGTCAAAAAACAAAAAATAAAAAATAATAAAAAAATACTAGAAAAACATTTTAGTTATGTTTAAATATTATTTTAGTTTGCTAAATTTATCATAAAATAACTAAATGTTTTTTTTTTTTAAATAATTCTGCGTTTAATTTTTTATTTTTGAATTCGCATGAAAATTAAAATTGTAAATATAATTTTGGAATTTTGATTTAAATTAAAAATTCTTCTTGTTATTAGAGGCAAATTTAAAAAATATTTACAACTAAAATTTTTAAATGTAAACTTAAGATATTGTTCAGAACAGAATGTTGAAGCTAAATGACAGGCTTTTGACCAACACAATCAAAAAACAACAATTTATTTATTACATAAGTAAATATGAACACTTTACTTACGTAATACATTTACTTTTATTTTCATGCGAATGCTTAATAAATATTTATGTATGTCTCAAATGTCTTGTCCACTTGTTTTTTTTTTTTTATTTTTTTTATGTTTTATTATTAAAACTTAGTTATATTATTTATATGAAATTATATTTTAATATTTTATAAGCTTAACATCGACAACGAATTTTTTTTTTTTGAAATGCAAGTTATGTATAACATATATTTTGTTTTTGAATTTTTCAAATTAAATAAGTCATAATTATTAATATAAAGTTACACATGACATTAAAAATTTTTAATATTTTTATAAATATAAGATAATTTTGTATAGTTTTTTTTTTGTAATTTTTGAATGATCAACAGTTCAAACTAGATTTGATAATATTGAAGAATTCAAATAATTATTTTAATATATATTATAATTCTTTGATAATTATTGAAAGAGTAATTAAAAATTTAATTTTTTAAATAGGAAGAGGTTCCTAAAAATAATGTTCCTCTATACATTCCTTTCGATGCTTTTTGCATTTTATGAAAAAAAAAAAATAATTAAAGTTTTAACAAAACACCAAAAAAAAAACGAAAAAGAAATTAAGATCGAAAATAAATTATTTCCATAATATTTAATTAAAATATAATAAATTAATAAATGATATTCCAAACTTACTTTTAAATTATTCAATTTTTTTTTTTTTACAAATACGAAACAAATACGAATAATAATTTTACATTTTTAAAGACTGTAAAAGAAAATCATTACAAAAAATCGATCACGTAGCTAAAGAGCAAAAATGTTAATAAAAATTCGAGTATCCAAAAAATGTTAAATTCATAATAATTTATTGTAATTTGCCCATACCAGTATGTAATGTTACATTATAGAATTTATAACAATTTAAAAGGAAAAAAAAATTTTAAAATACAAAATACCAATATTGAGTTCAAAAGTATACGGGAGTGAATGAATTTGAAGAGGCATAAAATTAGAAAAAAAAACATTCCTGAATTTTTTTTTTTTAATTCTTTTTCAAAATAGTGATTAATTTGGATAAGTAAACGAAATATGATTGAGAAATAAAAATTAAAAGAAAAATATTTAAAAAAATTCTTTTGACATTTTTGCAAAATTAAAATCTCTTATACATTATGAATGAGAAATATTTATTAGCATGAAAAAAATATTGAGATCTTTTAGCCTATGCAAAGCAAAAAATTTTTAATTTCACACAAGACAATGTAAAAAATATTGCATTTAGTCGAATTTAAAATTAATTGCAATTGTTATATAACAACATATGATTTAAAAAAAAAAAAAATAAAATGTAACTTTAATTATAATTATCATATTTTATTTAAAAATCAACCTATCAATTTTAATAACGAAAAGAAAAAAAAAACACTTCTTCTAATAAAAAATAAGTTCGAATATACATGAAAAATTCCAAATAAATCTATTAAACTATATAGGATCGAAAAAAATAATTAAAAATAATATTTATCGATATTAAAATACATAATTTAAATTAAAAAAAAATATAAAATTAATAAAGAGACTAATAATATTTAAAAAAAAAGAAAAAAAAGTAAAAAACTTTTAACAAGATTAATTTTTCAATTTTAAATTGGCATCATAAGAGGAACATAAAAAATAATTATTCACAATAATTTATTTAATTTAATTACTCAATCATAATTATATAAAATGTTTAGAAATAATAATTAAAATTATTATTTGTTTTATTTCAATAATTTTTAAAAAAACATTGATCATTTGAAAATTACAAAAAAAAACAAGAGAAAAATATAATTAAAATTCAATAAAATACTATTTTTTTTTTTGTTAAAATACTTTCCATTTAAAATAATTTAAAGAATAAAAGGACAATCTAAAATAATATAATTATTGTTTGAAAAAAAAAAGAAAAAAATCAAACAATGTAAATGAATAATAAACTTTTATGTGTGGTCACATAAAATCTATTTTTTTCTTACGAAACCATTTAAGTTTCACCAAAAAAATTGTATAAAGTGAAAAACATATTGAGGTGAAACACTAAAAATGAAAATCTATTTCTCTAATAGATTATATTAATTAACTAAAATTATTATATTCAATTATTATATTCGATTGTCTTAGCCATATTAAAACGCAAATTAAGAAAAAAATTTTTTTAGGAAATTTTATAAAACACAAATATATTATCAGAAATAATTATTATTTTCATTATCTTAATAATTACATAATTAAAATAATTAAAAACAATTAAATATTTTAATATAAAAAAAATAAATTGTATAGCTATTTAATAATATCAAAAAATAAAAAACTTTTTTGATTTATTTTAGTAGATCTACACATTTTACTTAAATTAATTTTTTTTTTTTGTGACTTTTTTTAGAATTATGTTGCTAATTAGAATTGAAATTTATAATTATTACATAATATTTGTATTATTAGAAAACAGAAAAACAAAAAAAATTACCAATTTTTTATAATATTGAAAATATTATTAATAAAAATCGAAAATTATTTTTCGGAAAAATTAGTCAAAAAAAAAAAATGTAATAAAATTAAAACTAAATATTCAAAAAAAAAAAATGAATAAATAAAATATAATTAAAAACAAATATAACAAAAAAAAAAAGTTAAAAATGTTTTATTTTTTTTTCAATATTTTGAAAATTCCAACAAATTACTAATAATAATCTTAAGTATAATTTAATTTATAATAGTTTTATAAGTTAATTTAAAGCAAGAAAAAAAAAATATATATATTAAAAATTTATAATATTAATTTAAGAGATTTTTTTGATTGTACTTAATATTTTATTTTTTTTATTTTGTATTCAAAGAAAGAAAGTGATGATGATTTCTTAAATTTTTTTTTTGGTATTGAATTATTACTCGTATTAAGACTTTTATGTTTTGTAAAATGTGTCACATTTAGTAAGCGTCTAATTTAGTTTGAAATTAAAAAATATTAATGATTGTTAACAATTGTTTGAAAAAGTTTCTAGAAATAGAAAAGGAAAGAATTATAAAACTATATTTAAATTAAAAAAAAATAAAATAATAACAAAAATTTTCTTAGATGTTATTTAATAAAATTTGAATGATTATAGTTTATCATGTGAAACTAGAATGTGACGATTTAACAAAAAAAATTAAGTTTACATAAGGAATTTTGTTTAGAAAATTTTCAATTTAATTTTTTTTAAACAGATTTAGATTACAGATTACGAGTACTAATGAATTTTGAACTTACTTTCTTCAAATAATAAATTAAAATTTAAATAGAATCAACTTGAATGAAATTTTTAATATGAAATATTGGAATGATTTAAACCAGAAAATAAATTATTAAATTATAATATTATAAAATATCAATTTTAATTAAAAATGTAATTATCTTCATGTATATTTTGTAATAGAAAAGATTTTTTTGCGCCTTGAAAATTATTAAATTTTATTTCAAATTTTAATTTTGAAAGTTTTAGCAATATTAATTATATATTGCATTTCCATTTTCGGAATTATTATTTTTAGATTAATTAATATAATTAGAATTTCTTAAAAAAATCAGAAATATAATTTCGAATCGTATTTATTAAAATTTCTTCATATCCTCGATTTATTTTCATAACTTATTTTTTACGTGTGTGTGGCTTAATGTTGTAACTATCAGGATTTCTTCTTTAAATTTCTTAAAACAAAATTACATTATTTTGTTTATTCACTTTTAAACTTTTTTAAAATACTTCATTAGTAATATCTTCCATTAATAAATCTTTTCCAAAAGTTTATTTTAAATATTACAAAATTGAGTTTCGAAAGTTTTACATTTTAATTAATTATTTGTATTATACTATACAAGTTGTTCTCCCCATGAAAATTTATAAAAAATATTTTTTTGAATTTTTAAATGCCTACCTTAGTAAACTTAATGGTTGTATTTTGTAAAACAAATTTGATAATAATTTTATTAAAAAAAATTTAAGAAATCTTAAATTTTTAGTCTATATTTTTTTGCCCAGTCAGTGTTACATAAAATTTAGCGAAATAATTAATTAGAATATTAATTGAATTATTTAATTATTTTATTTGGAAAGAACATAATTAAATTAAATAAATATGCTTTACGATTTTTAATTACTGACTTGGCATAAAATTTGCAGGTGTGTAAATATTTTTATTTATGTATTAAATATAATTTCAATTATTCTTATTTTTAGTTATTAAATAATATTATTAAATTTATTTTATAATAATGTCATTAACATAAACATAAAAATACATATAAAAAATTTAAATAATTATAAAAAAAATATTGTAAATTTATTGCTTTTTTTTAGTATAAACTTAAAAGAAAAGTTACATTTCAACTCCATTAATAGGATTTATTAACAAAATATGAAAATATTACAAAAAAAAATACGCAAAATAATTAAAAAAAATATATATATATATGAAATATATATTAAAAAAAAAACAACATAATATTTGTTAAATACATATATAATGCTAAGATACATATAAAAAAAGAAAGAAACAAAAAAAAAATAAATAAATAATTAAATTAAAAAAAAAAATATATTAAAAATTTAAAATGTAACGCAGTGATAAAAATGAATATTATATAATATGCATCATATTAAAAATAGAAAAGTATAAAAAAAATAACAAAAATAAATCAAAATAAAAAAATAATTAAATAAAATTTAATTTTTAGAAAAAAAACATTGTTAGTTTTTACTTTTTGCCCCAGGCATGCTTTCATTATTCCTTTGGCTAAAATTTTTTTTAACAGCAGAGAATATAACAATATCAGAGCATATTTCTAATGATGGATATGGAAATCCATTTACATGTTCTTTTTATTCGGAAATCATTAAAATCAGACGATTACCATTATATAGATCATGCAATAGAAAATTGCAAGAATAAGACACTTACGCTGATAACTTATAAATAAATATGAATTAATCAACACAAGAGATTATTAGTAAATTAAGAACCAAAATAATTACTTAAAATCATTTACTTTTAATAAGCGAAATAAGTATGATCTGAAATCAATTCAAGGGTCCTCTTACAAAAATGGATTAGTAAGGAATTTACATAATTTGGCTGATTATTAAAAAATATCATCAAAGATAAGCGATATATTTTATCCCAAACTCTCATCAAGATTTCAAAACAACTTTTATTTACTTTACTGACATCATTATTGTAAAATGTTTTCTACAATCAGTAAAGTACAAATGCATAAATAAATGAACAAATGTATGCAAGCCTAAATTAGATATTTTTATTAGATGCTATACGTATAA